TCTCGCTCTTATATGATATCTTAAGTCAATATGAGACAATATCAAACTTGATGCAAATAGATAAGGCCGAGGAACTTCAAGATGTTCCAGGAAGGTTGCTTGATAAGGTACATAAACTAAAGGGAGTGATTGTACAAGAACACCTCCTGCATGAATATGGCCTAATTACAAATGAACACCTCCCGCTTGTAGACCTCCCTCTTGATCAGCAACCAGGTGCAACTAAGCCAGAACAGTTCCCGCTTGAAGAGCTACTTCTCGAACAGCAGTAAGATGCAGCTGAACCAGGACAGTTCCCGCTTGAAGAGCTCCCGCTCGAACAGCAGTCAGAACAGTTCACGTTTGAGGGGCTCCCGCTTGAACAGCAGTCAGATGCAACTGAACCAGAACAGTTCCCGCTTGAGGAGCTCCTGCTCGAACAGCAGTCAGATGCGGCTGAACCAGAACAGTTCCCACTTGAGGAGCTCCTGCTCGAACAGCAGTCAGATGCAACTGAACCAGAACAGTTCCCGCTTGAGGAGCTCCTGCTCGAACAGCAGTCAGATGCGGCTGAACCAGAACAATTCCCGCCTGAGGAGCTCCCGCTCGAACGGCACTGAGCTGTAAATGAACCAGAAATGTTTTATATATGTTGTGCAATATTTATAAATATCTCTAGATATAATACCAAAGTCGGCATCGAGTGATATATATATACATATATACATGTGTGTGTGTGTGTGTGTGTGTGTTGTGTTGTTATTTCCAGCATCCATTTATTCCCCTGTAGGTCTTAGGCCTCCCTCAATTCACTATTGAGAGGTTATTTGGCAGTCTCACCCTCGCCTGACTGGATGTCCTTCCTAATCAACTGCGATTTGGCGCGCTGACACTTGTGCCACGGCGGTGAGATTGAGAGTCAGGCATAGGTATGTATGTATATATATGTATATATATGTATGCACACACACACATATATATGTATATATATAGATAGATATATATTCCAACCTGGAATATGACATACCCTAGACGAGCCAGTCCAAGTCATTGCCCGGGTATATGGTGAAGGTTCGGTCAGGAAGGTCATATATCATCATCCTCATCATCATCATCATCAGAGAGAGAGATAGAGAGAGAGAGAGAGAGAGAGAGAGAGAGAGAGAGAGAGAGAGAGAGAGAGAGAGAGAGAGAGAGAGAGAGAGAGAGAGAGGGAAAGAGGGAGACGAGAGAGAGAGTTAGAGAGAGAGAGAGAGAGAGAGAGAGAGAGAGAGAGAGAGAGAGAGAGAGAGAGAGAGAGAGAGAGAGAGAGAGAGAGAGAGAGAGAGAGAGAGAGAGAGAGAGAGGGAGAGAGACAGACAGACAGATAGAGAGAGAAAGAGGGAGACAGAGAGAGAGAGAGAGAGAAAGAGGGAGAGAGAGAGAGAGAGAGAGAGAGAGAGAGAGAGAGAGAGAGAGAGAGAGAGAGAGAGAGAGAGAGAGAGAGAGAGAGAGATGGGGAAAGAGGGAGACAGACAAACAGACAGAGAAAGAGAGAGAGAGAGAGAGAGAGAGAGAGAGAGAGAGAGAGAGAGAGAGAGAGATGGGGAAAGAGAAAGTGTAATTACGCAAACAGATCTTATCAGATGTAAATCCTTATCTCCTTGGTAGTACGTCATAATTTGAAATTTGGCGGAACTTAATGAATTTCTCTCTCACGATGATAATGGTTGTCCCTGTTGCGGTCGATGCTTAACGTTCACATTTCACAAAAGCATCGGTCAGACTGCTACCTTTTTTCTTGAATTCTCTATATTCATTTTTTTTTTTTTTTTTTTTTTTTTTTTTTACAATTATTATTTTTTTTAATTGTTTGGTGGTAAGTGGGAAGAGAAAAGAAAATTGAGAAAAAAACGAGAAGAATAGGAAGAGGAAAAAAGTGGAAGAAAAAAATTAAGGAAAGAAGAGGAAGAAAAATTAAGGAAAGAAGAAGAAAGGAGAAGAGGAATAAGAAAAAGAAAAAAAAAAACAAGGGGAAAAAAGATGAAGATGGAAAAAAGCGAAAAAAAGGTCAGATATTTTTTTAACCTTTATTTTATTTTATCTATCCAATATCTTACTTTAAAAAAAATAAACAATAATAAATAATAATTAAAAAGAATTGTGTAGATTGTGTTGCTGTGATTTTTTTTTTATCTTATCAACTTTTATTTCTTATTTTCTTCATTTTTCACATGAACAGTTACTATTATTATTATCATTATCATTATTTTTATTATTATCATTATTATTATTACAATTATTATTATTTTTATCATTACTATCATTATTATCATTATTATTATTATCAGTAGTAGTAGTATCATTATTATTATCATCACCATTATCATTATTATCGTTTTCATTTTATCATAATTATCACAATTGTTATTTTGATCATTATTATTTTGATCATTATTAAGAATTCCGTCCATTGTTTCATATAATCTATTTTTTTCTATTTCTTTATTTAATTTTATCCTCATTCGTACATTCGTATCATCTTCATTAATTCATCATTATCATTGTCATTCACACACACACACACACACACACACACACACACACACACACACACACACACACACACACACACACACACACACACACACACACACACACACTTCACAACAAATTCACAACGGACAAAAAAAAAAAAAAAATAGGACCAAATAAAACAACCTCAAAACGAGTGGATTTTTTTTTTTTTTGGTGGCAACTTTTTATTCGACTGTTAATAACCAATACAAGGATAAAGCTCCCAAAACGAGGTACCGACCAGAGGAAACTCCAGCCAAGTACCCCCTTGCGTGTTTAAAGTTATAGAAAACGGGATATATCACTCTTTTGCACGATGAGGCAAGTCTTGAAAAGCAACCGCTATTGGCTGCTTTCAATAATAAAAAGGCGTCCTACGGATTTACTTTATTAGTAGTATTATTTTTTTGTACATGTAAGAGAAGAAATTCTTTTTTTTTTGGTAATATATATATTATTATTATTTTTTAAAGGAGTATTTATGTATTTCAAGGAACAGAAACAAACATCAAACATTCATCATAAAAGACAGGCTATGTGTCTGACTTTTGCTCGTTAGGCAGAGTGGTAAGGTTAACAAACGGCAACGCTATGGCCGTGGGTCTAACATACATACAGTTTGAGCTGATTAAGACCGTTGCAAGGAGGTTTGTGACGTTTTTTTTCTCTCTCTCTGTTTCGTTTTTCCTCCTCACTTGCTCGATTCGTTCTTCTCTATCTCGTCTTTTTTTTTCTTAAAAGCTTCTCTTTCTTCCCTTTTCATCAAGTTCTCTTTCTCTATCTATTTATCACATTTCCTGTTTCTACCTTTCGTTATCCTATTCTTTTTTTTTCTATCTCTTTTCTATCTATCCCTTACGTCTTCTCACTGCGTACTACCCGAATGTATGTATCACCGACTATGCTTGTCAACTGAATACGGAGATACGGTACACGGAGATACATAGAAAATGCGATAATAATGATAAAGAAAATGGAGGGAAATGAAATACTGATAAACCCAAAAAGGGAAAAAAATAATCGATAGCTAGTAAGTCCCTAAAACAGGGTAAATAAAACGTGAATAATGGGCGTGTTTTCTGAAGGTCAATGCCTCATTCTTTCTTTTTTTTCCAAAAAGGTGTTGATTACCTTCTCTACGATTTTGTTTTTCATCATTATCATTTTTTTTTATCGTTTTTATTTTCTCCCATCGCGCTATACCTCTCGTGACCTATCTTGACCTCGAACGATGCAAACGCGACCTCTTCCCCTGGGCGCGCATGGATCTTTCGAACTTACTTTGTTTCTTCCTTTTTTCTGACCCTAAACAACCAAGGAGACCCTGGCCTCTCTTTCGCTCACGCCCACGCCCACTTAGAGAGAAAGGGATTGGGTGGGCGTAAGTTTTTTTTATTTCTTTTCAGTCCAACCCAGAAGGTCTAGGTCAGGAACTGCTCGGTTGACCTGCTTTTTTTTGTTTTTTTTCTTATTTTGACAAAAAAGAAGAAAAAATCTCACGCCTAACCGAACTCTATTTGCATTGACCTTCGCGTCGTTTAAAAAGAAAAGAAGAAAAAAAATCGTAAAAAAAAAAACAAACACTACACAAATGTTAATATTTTTTTTCACATAACACCAAATAACATCAAAACCTTAAGTATGAAGTTCAAGTATGAACGATAAGAACAGTTCATAGACCAACGAAACTTTACGAAATATGGAAACCAGATCCCCTACGTCCGCATTCATATAACTTCCCCTGTTTTATGAATGACGCACTGAGGCTTTGAAACCTCACGGAGAGTAACTATTCAAAACCGAGGCATTCTTACGAAAAAAAGGAATATCTACGAAAAAATTAAGGAAAAATTTGCAACTGTATCTACATCATAGCAGGGTAAAGGTAGTACAAGTATCTAATATATATATATATATTTTTTTTTACAGATTAGTTCTCGTTGTCTCGTGAAACAATATGAATTACTCACACTCTGCGCTAAGTGCTAAAGAAAAACACTCGCCTCTGTGGTATGATTGTTTATCAATTATCATATCTATATCCCGAAAAAAAGTCGAAGGAGTGAAAAAATGTTTCACTGCAAGATCAAAAAATAAAAATCCAAAGAAATATTTTTTTTTCTTTCCTTTTGCCCGTCCCAACGCTGCCCCCTCTGTACGTTTTCTTAGACAAATGGCTCAGCGGGAGGGGGACGCGTGGAACTGTCGGCAGGATTTACTGTACGGTCGAAAAACCATACATACACACGAGAGTAAGGTACATTGTTGTATTCTTATTTTATTGATGATACAGCCACATAAAATGTATTCTAGACATTATGATTAAAGTGATTATCCTCTAATCAGTCTAATTTTGAAGAGCACACTAAGCAATATATAATATATATTTCAATAAATCCATACAGGGAATGTCAAAATGTAAACAAAGTTTGAGTATTCTATATCCTATGTTAATACGACTAATGTATTAGCAGTGCGAGATCTACTCTAGGTTTATTGTGCATTCGGAATGGAATCTTCACTGGAAAGTGCTGGAGGATATACTAGTCTAGATTGCAAAATCAAAAACTGTCCGCTACTTGTTGCTTGAGCTATGTACCACCAAATTGCCGTCCGACTACGGATGAAGTACGCGAGAACGAACGTCAACAAGGACTTTCTGTATAAGAAGGCGCTTTACAAGAGCTACAAGGTATAAAGATTGTACCCCTGAAGAATATAGGAGTTGCAAGTATGGTATGATATCAAGGCAATCAGTAGCTGTTATACACACTCTTCAGGTGTACAGAAACCCTTCAGTAGCTCTGGGTTTTTTAGCTCTTCCTCTCTCCCGGATCACAGACTCCTTCCTCCTCGCCAACGGAGATACCATGACAGTGATATTGTAGGCTCAAATGTGTTTCACGTAGAGAAAAATGAACAACAAAACTTTGCAACGCAGGAGAACAAGTACACATAGTTTACAGGGTTCGGTGAAAGACAAGATTTTGAAAGCTGCTCGCCAGAAAGTAGGATTTCTGTGCGGCCGCGGGACAGCTGTGTGGTACACTGAAAGAATGATGGTGCAACAACGAGCTCTATGGGGCGCTGTTGACACGTGCTCTCAGAGTGTTTGCAACAACGCCGTTGCCGTGTCAGTGACGACAACAGGTATTTGAAGAAACTCTTACTCTACCATTCTTCTTAGAAGTTATTAGTTATTTATATATATTATCCTGGACTTGGGAGGGGAAAGTGTAGGTATTCCTCACTTGATCAAAAAATACTTGACGAAAAAAACGTTTCTTTTTTTTTAGACTGACACTAAAAAACAACACACATCTTTGAAGCTCATGTCCAAACAGACGACACGGAAAAGGGGGGGTGGGGGAGGAAATGACCATAATGAAATACAGGCAGGCCTAAACTGACCAAGTTTCTCATAATATTTAGATCTTTTTTTTTATTGGCTCGTGATAGCATCTCGTCAAAAGGTATATCTCTACTTGACTACATTCTTCTATTGCATATCTGATAAATACAATAAATGATTTACTTTATATATGTAGAAACTCCCAATATGTATATCAAACTGGACCACTACTCGATAAGATTTCAAACTACAATATCTATCAGTTTTATTAAATCTTCCGGGCAGACCTGTTTTGAATAGAAACAGTATTATTATTTTTTCATCTACTTTCACTACTTCAGGTTTGAGTTCATGAAAAGGTCACACGATCTGCATAGAAGATGATATTGTTTATATTTCAGTGTAATACTGTGAGAGATGTACAGCGGGACCGGAGCTTCGAGACACCGATTCGTCAGGAGGTTCGGGAGGTCCTCGTGCAGCCTCCGTGAATGAAGCAAACACTCGAGTATTCGAACCTGGCGTTATTCGAACAGCGGGCACCGACGTCGCCCTGGTCTGTCCACGCACACAAGAATAACACATGGTGTCTGGTGGGGTATATGTCGCCTTGATTTTTTTTTTATTATTATTATTTTTCTCTCTCTCTCTTTTATTTTTTTCTCTTATCTATCTTATTTGAAGGAAAACATCTAAATATCCAAGTGTTTGTTGACGGGAGGTTGTATTACTAGGTATTTCTTTAGTGCTTATAAATTGATGGAAATGCTCTCTCATTCGACGAGCTGTTCGTGGCTTAGTGTGCTCTACCACGAGTTCATTAAAGTGTTCATTAGGCAACTTCAGGGACGTGATAGTGCTGTAGTTCCCCTGACATTATACAGTGGTTTTGTTTATGGTTTAACTCTTACTTTATCTCGCTTGTTCTTGCTAACTTAAGAACTTGTATCATCTTCGTGATCTCAGCTGCTCACATCGTTATTATGCTATGTAGGTATATATGATTATATCTAGATTTATATATATATATGATGCTTTTAGTAAATGATAAAAAGCTTGCATAAGTATATTGATATTTTTAAGAGAATGCTAAGAAGAAACACATTCCTCAATTGTAGCTGATTATAGATTAAAGATTATTATTATTATTATTATTATTTTTCCTTTTTTTCTCTCTCAGAAAGTTCCAGATAAACTCGTGGTCCCTAACACACACGATCTCCTACAGTTGAGCTTTATCCAATTTTGTATTGTGAATCCTACATCAGAGTTTGCGAAGAAGTGTCCGGGCGCCCAGAGAGAGCCCGCGGCCCCGGCACCTGCGGTCGACGGCGAACTCCGGAAGGACGCCCTCGCTCGGCGTGGGGCGGCGGTGGTCGGGGCGGCGACGGCCCCCGGCGCCCTGCCTGGGCTGGATCCAGTCGGCTCGCCCCTCGCCGCGCCCTCGAGGGGGGGACACTCACCCCCGTCGCCTGCCGCCGCCGCCGTATCCTTCTGCGTGGTGTGTCCGGGCGCCTCCCCCCGGGGCCTGTGCGGCTCGGAGGGCGTCGTCGGGCGGCGGCGGCGGCGTCTTCTGCTGGGACTTCTTAGTCCACGGTCTCGATGGCGACAGTGGTCTCCGCCTCCTTCTTGGTGGGGCTGGGCGTCTTGGCCCCGCCCGCGCCCGCCACCGAGCCCGTGGCGGAGACGGCGGACAGCGCGCTCCCCCGCCTTCCTGCAACACCAACTGTACTTTACTCAGTCAGCCCTAACGTTGCAGGGTCTCCTCTGCCTTGCAAACTCGCTAGTCTACTTGACTTGGCCCTGGGCGGCCCTTCGCTAAGCTGTGCCTTTGACTTCTACTCTGATCTGTTATATAACATCTTATTCTATATGTCATTGGTATATCATGTGGAATGCAACTTAGCTACTTGAATCTATTTCTTTTACTCTAACTCTGCCGAAAAAATATGGTTAATATTAATCCTAAGAAATATGGTCTGCATGATTTTTATTTATTGAAAAGTAAGAAAAACTAACAACTAACTAAAATAACTGAATTGAAAGTCCCATCAATAGTGTGACTGCACACGTTGTAATCATGCATTAGTATTTAAAGAACTATCTACAGTACTTTCGTATTTAATAGTCCTAGTTAAGGTAACTGTATATGAAAAAAAAACTATTTTAAATAGGTAAAGTACTTGTGCTAGTCCTATACATACTATAAATCAGATATATATAAAAATATATTAGCTAGGAAATAGTTAGTTGCCTGCGCCAGGTTATCTCAGGTACGCTAAAAAAAAAGATCTTGCAACATATCACACATGCCACCGAGTTCAAACATCATTTATCATGACTTTTTTTTGATTGTATGCTGATAGTAGAGTTACATTAGCGTGCGTCCAATGTAATTCTATACCAAACAGTTTGGCATAACAACAGTCTCACCCAACAAACCTCTCTACCAATGGCAAACTGGGAAACTTACGCTCTCTCAGTAACAGCGCTGGAAGCCACTAAACCACACTAAACTCGTGACTAGCGTATTGTCTCAACTCACGTACAAGCGTGTCTGAGTCCTTCTGACCAACGCAGTGTGGTCTGATGGGCAGCGGTTGGCACTCAGGGCTAGAGAATAAATACCCTCGTTATCGCTCCCAGATGTCAGTCTCTCTCTCACTCGCGGGAGGAGAGGTACTAGCCGGTCCCCCTCCGTCACTCCGTTTCTTCATCTCTGACTAATGAACGTGTGTGAGGAGGGGCGGGGTTTTCTGGGCGTGTCAGGTGTTTAACGTGGCTGATTTCACCTGTTTCGTGGGGTTTTCCCTTGTTCTCAAATCAGCGTGACATGGCTGTGCAGGGGTTTGTAGTTTGGTGTGTTTTTGAGATTTTTTTTGTTTTGTTTTGGAGTATTTTGAAAATTCTTGTTTTTTTTGGGTTTGTTTGTTTTCCATTGGGAAGGTTTAGGTGAGATGATTGAAGCTCACGGGCCCGATATAAAGGCTCCGGTGGTTTAAGTAGCTTAGCTTTTATATATATTTAAAAAAAAAAGAAAGAGTGTGACCAAAATTAGATTAACATATTTTCTTAAAACTATCTGGGCCAATCAAGCTGGTCAACCACTTGTGAATGAATTGCAAATTGAACAGGCACGCAAAAAAATCGCCATAGCTGTGATAGCTCATCTCTTAGCTGTGTTACCTCAAACCTGATTATGAATCTGAGCCTTCTGAACCGCGAACCGTATTGGTGAATGAGAAGGCAAACAAACAAACTTAAATCAGCCATAAACAACAGAGCTAGTGTGAACATACGATACTAATACGTACTAGTAAGAAACCCCATATGTCTTAAGGGTTATTTCTAAGTTATTAAACCATTGATGTATCGCACTAACTGACCAAGCATGAACTACACACAGGGCATGCAGTCAAGAAACGGACCATTTAGAAGATGGGTCCGTTGGTCTAGACTAAACAGGTCTGCGCTAGTGTGGGTGGGTGAGGCCAGTCTCGTATGTTGGTGGGTTATGTGTGTGTGTTTGTGGATAGGTGAGTGTGAGTATGACTGTGACAGTGAGTGTGAATTTGTGTGTGATTGTGAGATTGTGTGTGAGTGTGTGCGAGATGGAGATTGTGTGTGTGTGTGTGTGTGTGTGTGTGTGTGTGTGTGTGTGTGTGTGTGTGTGTGTGTGTGTGTGTGTGTGTGTGTGTGCGTGTGTGTGTGTGTGTGTGTGTGTATGTGTGTGTGTGTGTGTGTGTGTGTGTGTGTGTGTGAGGAGGAGGGAGAGATAGATAGAGAGAGGGAGAGATGGAGAGAGAGAGGGAGAGAAAAAAGAGAGCAGGAAGGAGATAGAGATAGACAGATATAGAGAGGAGGAATGATGAAGAAAAAGAAACGAAAAAATTGTTTTCAAATTTCTTAAATGTGTTTACTCCTATACGTATATGTTTCATGCCATCAATACCCTGCAGTGTACGTATATGTTTAAGTGTCTCGTAAGTAAGTGACAAGAGTGTCCATAAGTGTCAATGCCTCTAATCAGCTGACATCTATCTGTGGCACTTCCGCTGCTCCGCCTTCACCTAAATTACGACATTTTTCTTAGTCAGGTGCCTCAGCGCTATCACCTTAGCTCACCTGACGCAGCAAATTGACATCTACTCCTCTATGAATGAACACCTTCTACTTAATTTAAGTCTTAATTGATTTAGAGAGGAAAAGAGAAAAAGAGAAGCAGCCTTAAGTTTATGATTTCTTAGAGAGAGAAAAAGTAGGAAGAGATGCAACCAATCTACACTTTGAAGCCATCAAAAAAGGGACTTCAAAGGTCAAAAGCAAGAGGTAATGGAAAATGCCGTAGAACGATTAAAAAAAAATAAACACACAATAACTGCCGCTTGTGTGCATGAGTGCCAGAAGACGAGCCAGGTGAAGAGCCAAAGGAGTGCCAAGTCTAGCGAGCAGCGTGCCTAACTACACGTGTGTGTATGCCTGCCTGTGGCTTGCGGCGACCAGCAGCGAGAGTGCCAACAAGGTGTCTGCCACCGCCGCGCCGTCGCTGCCGTAGAGGTGGTAGTGGTGGTAGTGCCCCGAGGTGGTTGGCAGACGGTGTCAGGCCAGCGAGACAATAAGAAACAAAGGAACTGGAGACTTACCATCAGGTTGCGTGCATGCGAGGGGGTCACGTGACGTCACACAGGTGGGGTCCCAAGTGTCATTCAAGAGAACAGTCGTGGCTTTGTTAGTGGTGCCGTGATTCAAGGAACACACACACACACACACCTTTTTTGTTTGTTCAAAAAGTACAAAAAAACAAACAAACAAAAAAGGGGTCGAGGGAAAAAAAGGTTCAAAAAGAGAGATTGAGAGGGCAAAAAAAAAAAGAATAAAAAAAAAAAATCTTCCTCATCTCTTTTCAAAAAAAAATGAAGCATCACGGCATAACTAACAACCATAGAAGGGTACATACACAGGGTTGGAACTCTCTAGAAAAGGTCCTTTTGAGAAAAAAAAGACATTGGACTGACCTCTACGAAAAAAAGAAAGAAAAAAAAAACAATAACTACCATTTTTATTTCCAAATACTAATGGAAAAAATAGACATTGAGAGTGGGACCCTAGACAAAACGTTTTTTTTCCATTAACTCACCCCAGAACAGGATTCAGAACAAGGCCTTTTTGCGTGCTCCAACTGGACCAAAAAGTTTGTTAAGAGATCGTACGTTCCTCCGTGGCAAAAAAGGACATGGATGATGATAATAAAGGAAGAGAGAGAGAGAGAGAGAGAGAGAGAGAGAGAGAGAGAGAGAGAGAGAGAGAGAGAGAGAGAGAGAGAGAGAGAGAGAGAGAGAGAGGGAGAGAGAGAGAGAGAGAGAGAGAGAGAGAGAGAGAGAGAGAGAGAGAGAGAGAGAGAGAGAGAGAGAGAGAGAGGAGAGAGAGAGAGAGAGAGAGAGAGAGAGAGAGAGAGAGAGAGAGAGAGAGAGAGAGAGAGAGAGAGAGAGAGAGAGAGAGAGAGAGAGAGAGAGAGAGAGAGAGAGAGAGAGAGAGAGAGAGAGAGAGAGAGAGAGAGAGAGAGAGAGAGAGAGAGAGAGAGAGAGAGAGGAGAGAGAGAGGGAGAGAGAGAGGGAGAGAGAGAGAGAGAGAGAGAGAGAGAGAGAGAGAGAGAGAGAGAGAGAGAGAGAGAGAGAGAGAGAGAGAGAGAGAGAGAGAGAGATTAAAAGTAGGGGAGTATCAGCTTTCACAAAAAAGAAAGAAAGAAAGAAAAAAATCCCCTACTATTTCAATGATCTTAAAACAACATCATGAGAACGCCGAGAAACTTTTTCGTCCAGGTGTCGTAGGAGAGAGAGAGAGTACTTGGGGGAGTTGCAATGGAGGAGAGAGAAGTTGAGGGTGGGGTCCGACAGCTGTGTGTGGCGCTGGGAGGAGGGTCGGGCCGCCGGCGGGAGCACGGGGCCCTTCCGCCGCCTGCTCGACTACCGCCAGCGATTTTCACCATCTCACAGGGACTCCAGGGACGGTAGACGCTGATATGACACCGCTGGGCCTCACGGGGGCAGAAGGGGAGGGGGGCAGGGAAGGGCAGGGGTGGAGAGAGGGGGGAGAAGGGAGGGGGGGAGGGGGGCAGGGTGACACCAACAAGTTATGCTAGTGACAACGTTTTTGGCGGATTTTAGAAGTTTTTATTTATTTTTTTTTAAATCTCTTTTTTTTGTCATTTGATATCTTCCTCTTTTTTTGTCTGTTTTTTTTGGGTCATCCTCTCAGAGAAACATTCCAAGACTGGGTAATAAGAAACTCGAGTTATTTGTGATGATATTCACATGCAAGCCAATAATAAGGCATTCAAGAAATGGTAGAATTCTTTCTTTTATGACATGACCTGGCGACTTTGTCTAAGTAAGGCCAATATAAAAAATGCAATATGCAAAATTCAAACGCCATAGTAAAGATCACGCACTGCTTTAATTAATGGAAGAAGCAGACTGCTTGAATAACAGTGAGCTGGCAACCCCCCGGGCGTCCTACGCTGGCCTGGCCGGGGGACCCCTCGGAGGCCCCCGTCCTGCGGCCTGGGCAGGGCTCCGGGGGGCGGCGGGTGTATGAGTGGGGGGGAGGGAGACAG